CACACTTAACTTACGGTGCCTACTGCTCGCTTGACTCAATTATTTCTATCTTCAATCTATCTGCATATGCCCTGATATACAAAAAAAGAGGGCGTCTAGCAAATACTGGGATATTCGTGAGATTCCCAGATAAGTCATGATCCTTCTAGAAACTCCAGCGCGCATGCTCCCAGAGTCGCGTGACTTCCGCTGTAGTAACACTACTATACGTCTTCCGTCTAGTGCACGTTTCGCACTTGCATTAAAATATAAAAATTGTCCCCTAAGTTGGAGACGTTGATCAGGTTTAATCATTTCCAAGCAGATCTGCACTTTAAAGATGGCAACCGATATAATTTATTTTTTAATATTTTCAGAATTAACTCTGGTTGTATTCTGATTTGTTTTACAAATAGATTAAAAAAATGTCTTTAATTTCCTGGGTAAATGAAAGTTGACAAAATCATTTATTTTGAGAAAATATATATCTTTTTATATGTACATAAAATAATAACTTAAAACTTGACTCAACTCCAAATAACTCTTTATATATATACACACACGTGTTTGTCTCACATATAGTAACTTCATAGCTCAGATTTCGGATTATCTGTCTCACGTAACACGAAGAGTAAATAAGAAAGCCCGAATAAAACTCAAAAAGCAAATAACCATGAAAATTATTAAGGTATTTATGCTTTATGTAAGGAAAATGAGTGTGTGATGCTGTATCGCATCAATAGCAACAGTTACGATTTTTCAAACGCTCTCTTGAGTCAAAAACTTTGAAAGTTGAAAACGCACTGGATTTAGTAATGTTACTGCATTTATTTAAATTAGATTATAGTTAAAAAAAGACGTGGTGTAAAAAACTTATACTTCTGTTTGTTATAGTTTATAGTTAAAAAAAGCCAGTGTGAAAAACGTCTGCTTGTGTATGTTATAGTTTATAGTTAAAACAAAGCCAGTGTGAAAAACGTCTGCTTGTGTATGTTATAGTTTATAGTGAAAAAAAAAAAAAGACGCAGTGTAAAAAAACACCTTCTACTTCTGTATATTACTTTAACATCTTTATTAGGTCATAGAATCTTTATTAAGTGTCAGAAACTCTACCCTTTACTATTTTGTCATTCTAGCATATTCTCCAACTATGAAATACGATTGCTATATAGCAAGGTTTGTTAAGACTTGTACTGCGGTAAACTTAAGAACCCTATATCACACATTCTCTCTTCTAAACAGCTCGTCCCCCGTTGGGTCGGTAGAAAGGGGTGGACTTGCAATGCTAAGATCTGGGTTTCAATACTCCGTGATGTAAAGAACGCAGATAACCTATTATGTAGCTTTGCGCATAAACAAACAATCTAAACAGCCGAGTGTTTACACCAGCGCCCTCTACATGTAAATTATCTTTGGAACACAACAATGCTGAATGTTTCATTTAGTGTCTTTTCTCACAGCTATCTATTTGGAACTTTTGTATGTATATTTGTCGTTTCTCATTACTATAGATACGAAGATAGTGAACACAAAATCCGCCATAATGCACTCCATCCACCAGTATCCTTACATCTGGAAGAACACCAAATTAAACAAGAACCACCATGGGAAAATGAATCTGCAGGTGGCGATTTAAAGAACCAGGCAGAATACGAAACACATCAAATGGCTGTGTTTGCAGACTCTGAGGAGTTGTCACCCAGAATTGATTTAAAAACAATTAAAGGTATGAGTTTATATTGGTGCTTACTTAAAAACCACAAGGAATATTTTATTTTACAACTAAGTACGTTAATAAGTGGGTTACATTACTAATGTTACAATTGTATTCTTTAAATTTCTGGATAAAATTTTAGGGCACAAGTTTAAAGAGGCTAAAAAGGTATCCAGGTATAAAAACATGAACTATTTAATTTTATAAATCAGTTTAGACCTAAACAATACAAAAAGTTAATAATAATATCCTCACCTTCATTATAAATGTAAATTCTTATGATAATATTAATGAGAAAAGCCATTATTTTTTAATGGAAAGAAATCTTTGTGCATTTTCTTTTTGTATGGAAGTTAAATACATAAATCCAGTGCATGTAAAAACACAAGATAAATAAATAAAAAAAAAGAGTAGCATTTTACTTTTATTCATCATTTACCACTGTAAGCATCCCTTAGAATGAAAAACTCACTTGAATATTTTTATGTTTCTTTTAGAAAATGAGCCTGGCATGGCCAAGTGGTTAGTGTGCTCGACTCGCAATCTGCAAATTGCAGGTTCGAATCCCCATCCCACCAAACATGCTCACCTTTTCAGCTGTGAGAGTGCTATAATAACATAACATGTAACATAATATTTTTGGTACAACATAGGACCTACTGGTCCATCTCAGCTGTTCCATCCTAAAAACTAAATTAAAATGATTAAAAAATAAAATACATTTCCCAGCCTTTTCTTTAATATACTTATCAAGCTTTTTCTTAAACTCACTTAAATTTACTGCCTCTACAACATCTGAAGGCAACCCATTCCAAAGGCCAATCACCCTGTTAGAGAAATAAAACTGTCTTAGCTGAAGATGACTCCTACCTTGCCAAAATTTATATTTGTGTCCCCTAGTCCTACTATTCTCATTGTTAAATATATAAAAAAAAAAAGAATCATACATCAACACTATCAATTCCCTTTACAAGTCTTAAACACCTCAATCAGATACCCTCTAACTCCTCCTTTTTTCAAGAGAAAATTGGAGAGATTTCAGCCTCTCGTCATATGACAACCCCTCTATCCCAGGCACCATCCTAGTAACCCTTCTCTGAACCCTTTCCAACAATTCAATGTCTTTCCTAAGGTAAGGAGCCCAAGACTGAAAACAATATTCCAAATGTGGCCTAACCAATGACCCATCTACTACATCAATCTTAATATTTTGTCTCAAACAATTACAGTAATCAATAAATTTATTAATTAACAGAGTCAAACCTAAGCCATTTTAGAGCAATTTTATTTTTCTTGAGAAAAATATCTTTGAGAAAACTTACATAGCAAGAAAATGTTTGTGCCTGGTCTCAAGGTATTGTGAATTAATTTCAAGTTTAAATGAATAATTATTCAAATTAATGGTTCTAGTTTGAAAACTATTTAAAGTTAACTTCCTTAATGCAGTAACTAAAGGATCAAATGAGAGGAATTTAGTAGCAAAATGTGAATTTAACAGCAAATGAAAGTAGCATTTAATGCTGTATATAGCACTGGAACATTTGTATCAGATAAATGGATTGTGCTACAACTCAAATACTGGAAAGTGAGCAGCTCAAACCTTCATTTATAGCATTACCTTTTAAAGCCAACATTGCTAATAAATTAATATTCATAATCAAATCTTAAATATTCTGAAATTGTTACTGTCACTATGGAAGCCTGTAAAAGGGTTTATTTAATATGATTTAGCAATATATTTTATATTATTGTCTTTCAAGGTTCAGGCTATTTGAAAAAAAATATACCAATTCTTCCAAATACATTACAACAAGAAATGAAGATTTCAACAAATGAGCTTATGAAGCTTAAAAATAAACTTGCTACTATATCATGACTAGTAAGATAAAATGTATTTGCATGTAACAATGAACGTGTAAATCAGTTTACTGTGGAATGCAAGTGTAAAATGGACTGAAAAGCAAATTTAACAAACTATTAGGCTAATATTGTCAAAAGAAACACTGTTCATACTACATTTCAACCATAAAGACTTTATGAATAGACTTATGTCTGACCACATGACAAGAATAAATATATTAAGATCAAAATATATAGTGACTTTTTATAGTTAATGAAAATGCAACTATATCTTTAAGAAATCAATCAATTACTTACCTTGCCATTTTGTTTAGGCTTAGGTCTCAGTGTTATATTAACTTTGAGCTGTTCCATCAAGCTATGAATTACAACTGACAAAAGAAACAAAAGTTTGTTTCATGAGCAGTTATGCTATGTATTTAATAAAACAGAAAATCTGTTAGTCCACACAAAGTATTATCCACTTTATATTAAAATGTAGAAACAGAATTATAGTAATACATTAGGCAAACTAAAAAAAAAAAAGTTAATAAGGCTTTGCAACTTATTCAATTCTTTGGGTCCAGTAAATTGGTTAGCCTACTTATTAGAAACTATTTCAATGACTTTCAGTCTAATATGGTGTTTCAGTCTTCTCATTTTATTATAGTACAGAGATTCAAAGAATAGGAAGCAACACAGTTAACATATAATTATTAAACACAAAAAACAAAAGATTTTGAAAGACTTAAATTATAAATAAAAATAAATAAAGGCTTGACATTTTTTCTCATCAGAAATTAGCTAAGCAGAAACTGGCAAATACCATGTATGAGAATTCGAGCCTATAACTTGAATGACCTACTGCTTCGAAGATGGAGATTTAGTAAAAAATCAAACCAATAATGTCTAATTTCTGCTTTAAGCATTAAAAATTAAAATAAATCAAGAGAGAGAAAAAAAAAAAAGATCTTGAAATAATGTTTAATCTTCTGTCTATTTCTAGCAACAATGTCTTCAGTGAAAGAAGGAAGCAATATACATAAGTTTCAAAAGTTACCTGGTTCTACATCTTGGCCATCTTTCAAATCAAACATCAAAACCAATGGGAGAAAGCCCTATGAAAAAATGAAATAATTTAAACAACAACCTTAATAAACATACATTAATAATTGTAAAATATTGTTAGTACAATGGTCAATGGTTTACAGCCATTATAAATTTCAAAATTAATATTTTGATTCAATCATTATTATTTTAAACTAAGCACTAACTAAATATAAATTATACATAAATCAAGCAAATCAAAACTAACAAAAAGAGAGCATACAAAGGATGGCTAAATCTTTAACATAATCCCCACATTTGAGCAGTTCATATGTTTATACATTCATGTTTTGCTTTTTTCAAATTTTAATAATTTCAGCCTTAATTCTTTTTTAAATCAGTGATCAAAATACAAATGACAAACTGCATACTTTATTGCAATTACAGGCAAGCATTAAGTATTTCACATTACATTTTCCAGATAATTATCCCTCAAATAAATTAAGGTTATATTTTAGATTGTTATTACTAACTAAACTCAATTGCTTTTCAATTTAATATAGAAGTATGTTTGATGCACAGACCTGAAAGGAATCTAAACAGATTATTTATAGCGAACATTTCATTATCCAGGAAATAAAAAGAACTTATTTCAATAACTGTTTCGATGGAATATCCACCTACCATTAATTCTTGCCATGCCAAATAAACACAATCAAGTTGTCCTGTAATGGTAACTGTAGATTTGTTAGGTTGCATTGTTGTCAGACTTTCACCACCAGAAGACGTAGGGACTTTGACATCAGGAAAGGCAATAGCTGCTCCACTGTGCTGAATTATCAAACGAATGTTGTAACCATTCCGGCCCATTACGAAGCTGTGGTGCTGAGGAGAAATCTCCAAGCTGAGTGTGACTGGAAGCCCAGGCTAAGTTAGAGAAAAATCTACTTTAAAATTTAAAAATAAAACTATGATACATACCCACACACAAATGGAGTGTAAACACAAATATGTCATCATGGTAAGTGTTATACATATTATACATCCAGCAACTTCTGTTCTTTGTTTTAAATTAATTCTAACCTAAAGAACCATATTCTTTTCCAAATAAAATCACTTCTGAAACCATATTATAGTATTATTCTTCGTAGATTAGGAGTCTCTACATGGTCTGAACCTAATTTCAGTAATCTAAGCAGTACTGCATAGAAGTCATTATGCTTATATTAAAAATTCATTCAAACTTTAAAAATGGTAGCCTTCTCAAAGTGTAATTACTTCTAACACAAACATACAAGTATGCAGAGAATGAGGTTCAGAGCATAAATGCACTATTTTCATATTAGGATGAACAACGGATCCACATGAACAGCTCTGTTAACTTGAACTTTTCCTCTACAACAAATACTAGATCATAAAATAAGAATTATATAAATATTAATATGCTTGTGTCTAAGTCCTTAAATTCGTGGAATTCATGAAATAATTATATTTTCCAAACTTGTATACTACAAAAATTTACTTTTCTAAGTAAAATGATAGAAGGCCCATTATCATAGAAGTATGGAGTGAAAAACAAAAATCAAATAAAAATAGCAAACAAATAACCATTCATTCCTGTAAACATAAAGTCAAATAAAAAGCTCTTAAAGTTTAATACTTTTATTACCATGTTATTTCCAGTTAGGTATTCCATAAGCTCTGAAACTCCTTGTCTAATGCGGTGGAAGTCCTTACGACATCCTCGAATTACGATGATGGTGTTGCTGCCACATGACCACTGCCGAACAGACATTGTGAATCCATATTTTTGTTGTAGCATCAGCAGTGTTTGGGAGCTAGGATCTGGTGGAGCTTGGAAACCTGTACTTGGTAGTTGAAAGGAAAACACAAGAGGCAACAATTCCTAGAAAGGTTTTAAAAAAATCAATAAACTGATAACATAAACTCAAGATAATAAGTTAATGAAAAAAAAAAAAGCCAACTATCTGCTTTCAAATGAAGCAGTTCCACTTGGAATGTTTTGTTTTTTTTTACCTTAGTTAAAGTACATCTGTAACATCCAACATCCTACAAAACTTGTTTCAACAGTCCTTGAACATGTGGCATTGTACATCCAATGCTCTGCAAGGGAACTGAGTGTACATAAACAGACAGACACACAACCCAGGCCCATTAGTAGTATAGAAATGATAATGCTGATATGAACGCTTCGAAAGATCTCAGATATGCAAATTTTACATCATGCTCAAGAATGCTTGACATTATTTTACTTCAGGTATAACCTGTCAGAACCAGAATCTTGATTTATTCTTAAAAAATGAAAACTCAAAGTGCTTCATTCACATTTGGCAAAACACAGTTCATATTGTCTGACAGTTTCCAGAACCATATTTGGCCATCATTTAAAAGTGATTTGGGAGGCTTTTATCGCTACAAAACACTTATTGAGATGGTTTTGGTTTCACTGTAAAGAAAATTAAAGATGGCACAACATTTTTTTTTCATTGTGGTGGAAGTGTTATGGTATGGAGATTCAAAAGAATAATGCTTCCTACTACAACATAAGCCTTGTTTCTAAGTAACATCATGTCCTAGATCTGAATCTTACAGAAGATTTCAGGGATCAATTAGGAAGTTAATTCAAAAAGTTAGATAACTTTCAAATATCCATCGGCAATATCAGTATAAGAGAATGCCCTGCAGAACAGCAGCAACTAATTGGTCTAAGAGTCGTGTTGTATACTGTAATACCACAATGATAACTAGGACATTCTCATAATCTACATACACACACCTGGATGCACTTGACATGATACTATATGCTAAAGTAAATAAAAATAACTAGAATGGTTCTAGATAAGCAACATAAAGAGCCACGATATTGTTTAAACAAAAGTTTGGAAACAAAGAAAGGATTCAAATAACAATAATAAAGATAGAGGGATCTTGATCTTGGTTATGTGAACCACATACATCTTCTCAACGACACTTTTGTTAACCGTTCTGTTAATACAGGAAACCAGTACAAAAAACAACTAACTTAAAATCGTTTTACTGTTGTTTAGCAAAAATTCAGCAAAAACTGACAACAAAAAATTCACTGTAATTGATGCACAAAGGCTATATTACAATCATGTGAATTCAAGTCAACAGCTACTAATGGAAAGTAGTAACTTCAGATAAAGCAAAATTAGACATGAATAGAAATCACAAAATGAAACAGGCAAATGTAATTACATATAATAAATGTTAATAATATATTAATCATTCCAAACAAAAGTAACATAACTGTAACAACAGGAAAATAAGGCTAATGACACACGCAAATTACACTAACTTATCAAGAATTTTTATGAATTTAATATAAAAAAATTTATAGTTTCAACTTTGTCCATCTTATTACATCCTGTACTTTTAATGCTTTTTTATGTTAATACATCCCAAGTAGCATATTTCTTACAATAAAATATCACTAAATCCACATCTGAGAGTATTTAACACCATTCAGAAATTACAATGGTGTAATATTCATAAAGTTAATAAACATTTTGTGAAAGGTTGTTACTTAAGCTAAAATATTTTCACTTACTATCTAATTTGTTTTATAAATATATTTGAAATTATTTGCTCTTATGTTGAGTCACATGTATTTGAATGGCATCCACTATTTAGTTTTATTATGTCCTTATGTATTCTTGATGAATGATTTCGGGTGGTAATACAGAGAAAGTCAGAATAAGCAGCAAAACAACCCACATAAAATGGCATCTCTTATGCAGAATTTATAGCTCTGATCAAATCAATGGAATTTAAATATAATTAAGCACAAGAAAGAAATGCAATGTATGACACTCGTTACCCATCTTCAAGCAAAGACATTTTGTGGATTGTTCACAATCCAAGTGAAAACTTAATATTACTGTCTGTCTGTACGTGATGATCAGAAATAGCTGAAATTCAATATGCATCATTCAATTCTCGAACCCAGGAACCCCAGTATCCTGAAACCAAGCTCTTTACCAACTGAGTTACCAGAGTTCAAGTCTCAAGCAGACAACTTTCCATCTTGACCATTGCACTATTATCAAGGTCTAATAATTTATTTCTATTTTAAGGCATGACAGCAAAAATAAATCAGTTTGATTTAAAATACTTAACTATTGTATAATAACTAAAAAAAATTCAATAATTTGTACTGATTGTAGTATCATACTTTAATAAAAAAAACAACAAAAAACTTACTCTTATCCTACAGCGAGCTTTCTCTGCTTCTGTAGCTTGCCCTGCTATTGACACCTGGTGGAAAAAAAAGGTTTTTTTTGTTGTTGTTTTTTATTACTGTCCTACAATTATGAAAAAAATAAACTTCATAAGATTAAGTATATTATTCATATTTACTAAATGAATTTGATGACTATTTTAAGAATTTTCTTCTTTCACACATTCATATGACTTTTGAACAACTAATCAGGTCAGAAAGTTACCACATAGGCAACATGCAACCTACCTCACAGTATGTGGATGATTGGCTATAAAATAACAAGAACTAGGTTCAGTGGTTGGAACAGATTGATCTTCTAAAATTATTATTCCTCAAAAGGTGTCAACTACAGAAAATCTGTTTTTGTTTAAGTGCAAAGTTACAAAAAAGGGGTATTTGCACAGTGCTCACCTCTGTTATCAAAACCCACTTTTGTGAATAAGTCCACAAACTTACTGCTGAGCCACTGGGGAAAGGGAGGGGGATACCTTAAGGAATACACTTTAACATGCATAAAACTTTATAAAAGCATGTTCTTTCTGTATTAAAACATTATTAAGATAAAAAGGAAGCCATTTAAAATTCTAAAAATACACCAGCATGTACAGAAAACCTCACAATGCAACAATGATTCATTAAACTATAAATATGTTAATCAAAAAACTCACCTTACAATCTAACATAAATGCATAATTACAACAATTAATATCATGCAACTCAGGTGAAACATGAATTCAACTAATGATCCAGAAATCTAGCATACCTGATTACTCTTCTCTGCAAGGCTAGTACGGTTTGAGTCTGGAAAGTGGATGTGACAACCAGTTTCATCCATTACCTGCTGGATGTTGTTCCCTCCTTTTCCAATAATGTGAGAATGGTCTGTATATGAAACATCCATCTTCAGTGTCACTCTGTTTTTCTGCTAAAGAAGGGAATTGAACATCAGAGAATTACCAGATTAAAAGAATAATTACATGCATGTGAATAAATAAATTTCAGTTATTTCTATGCTAATGTTTAAAACTATTAAAAACAAACTATCCACCCACCCAGACACACTAAATGCTGCCTGATAATTAAAATAACCATTTTAATGTTTTATGGAACTTGTTTTTATACATTCTTCTATTTATGGCCGCATTGCAATAATGTACACATTACAAAAAGTCTCTTGATAACATATCCAAAGTCCTTGCAAACCATATAATACTCTTAATCAACTTTCCCATGTTATTATTTACTTTGAAATACACCATATGAAAAATGATCACCAGGTTGGTTTTCAACACCAAAGGTCAATGGTAATGAATTCATTCCAACAATGAGCTAAAAGAAAATTCAAAAAAAAAATCACTGAAAAACTTTTTAAAGTAATCCAAAACAGTTGACTCTGTGGACAAGAGGCTTTATTCATTCAAGCCTCTAAGGTCTGTTTCCTACTGTACAGATGTAACAGCTGCATTTAGTAATTAACTTGATAACAAGTCTCTCTCTGTTGGCTGGTGTAGAATTACAAATCCCAAATAAAGAAAAAAAAGAAATGTATGTGTCCATAAAGATAACAAACATCTTTTTATTCTCCAGTTTGCCAAAAGGCTTAAACAGTGGGAGGGTGTGGAACAGCATCTTATTTTTTTCACTATAGTTGTAGAAACTAATATTTTAGTGTCTTGATATTGTTGGCTTTTAAATATTTTTTGGTTTAGAATATGCATTTATATTCTATACTTATTCCAAAATTTAAAACAAACAATTGATTTACTTTATATAAATGTTATTCACAAAGATAAAATTAGATAAACTTTACACCTATGTATCAAGTTTTTAAAATTTTCAAGTATCCGGAACTCGATTTGTTTCTTACCACTGTAGATGAGGGTTGAAAGTATATACACCCAGATGTGTAAATTTATGCTACATTGTCAGCACCATATCGGTAAAAAGCTTTTTCTATTAGCAACTTACAAATTTGATACATGCTTCTTTTATATGAATAATAAAAAAAACACTCATGAAATATTCTGTTTATGGTTCCACAAGTGAAATAACACAGCCAATTTGTGTTTCTGCTCAACACAAAA